TCGACCCACGAACCCGGAAAAGGAATTTAGAAACCCGAAGAATGGCGACGTTCTCAAGACACCTGATTTGGCGACATGCACTTTCAATGCAATGCCAAAGATTGTGCTGTGCTGTGCTGTGCTGAACTGAGATGTGTCATGCCGCGATGACTTGCGTTGTGCCCGATACTGTTGTAGATCGCATCGCCCTTGGCATCCGAATCCTGACCGAACTGATCTGGATCTTGAGCTCGAGCTGCCTGAACGCACAGCTGACCCAGAACTGGTTGAGGTCGAAACGTGTGGGACGCTCAAGCAGCCCGAGTCAGCGCCGAAGCAGGAAGAGACGGCACGATGCGCAGGGCGCATGGACGCGACACGGACTGTGCCAGAGGCGCACTGAGGGATGCACCAAGGGACGTTCCTCCTCCTCCTCCTGCAATTGTTTCTTTTTCCTCCTCCTCCTCCTCCTCCTCCTCCTCCTCCTCCTCGGCAGAAAAAAAAAACGCGCCACGGAACGGACAGGAAAAGCGCCAGGGGACGAGCCAGGTCACGGACGTGACAGTGGACGAGCTAAGCGCGCGAAGGGGGGGGGACACACGCCGTCCCGCCGTAGGGCATTGGGAACCCACGTGGCTTCACGCTTTGTCCCGCTCTGGGACGTGAGGACCCCTGTGCTTTTTCACGCGTGCCCCGCTCTGGGGCGCTGGGGCCACGTGGCTTCGCGCCTGCCCCCAACCCGGGGGGGTGGGAACCGAATGGCTGCACGCTTGTCCCGCCCTGGCGCGTCTGGAACCCGTGCATTGTCACGCTTCGCCCGGGCGTTAAGAACCCACGTGTGGTCATGCTCGTCCCGCCCTGGGGCGTCAAGAACCGTCATGGTTGTCACGCTTGTCCCGCTCGGAAGCGCTCGGAACCCATGTGCTGTCACGCTTGTCCCGCTCTGGGGCGTTAGGAGCCCGTGTCTGTTCACTAGATGCCCGCTGTGCGGCTTGTGAAAAGTCAGAGTGGTCACGCTTACCGCGCTTTGGCGCGCTAGGAACCATACAATTTCACGCGTGTCCTGCTCGGGGATGTTTAGAACACACGTGCTGTCACGCTTGTCCCGCTCTGGGGCGTTAGGAACCCACGGGTTGTCACGCTTGTCCCGCCCAGGAGCGTTATGAACCATGCGTTTAGACGCCCGTCCCGCTCCTGGGCGCAGACGCCTGTCCCGACCTGAGGCGTTAAGAACCCACGCATTGTCACTCGTGTCCCGCTTTGGGGCGTTAGGAACCTTACTGGTGTTACGCTTGCCCCGCCCGTAAGCGTTAGGAGCCTGCGTGTTTTTACGCTTGCCCCGCTCTGGGGCGTTAGGGGCCCCTGTGTTTTCACGCTGTTCCCGCTTTGGGGCGGTCGAGTCCTCCATGTGTTTCACGCTTGCCTCGCTGTGGAGCGTTAGGAACCAATGTGGTTTCACGCTTGCCCTGCTCTGGGTTATTAGGGGTCCATGTGTTGTGACTCTTGTCCCGCTCTGAGGCGCTCGAAAGCAACGTGTTTTCACGCTTGTCCAGCGCTGGGGCGTTAGAAACCCTCGAGTTGGCACGCTTGTTCCGCTTTGGGGCGTTTGAAACGCACGTGGTTTCACGCTTGTCCCATTGTTGGACGTGCGGGCCCAAAATGCTTGAACGATTGTCGCGCCCTGGGGCGCTAAGAACCTAAATGTGTTCACGCGTGGTCCGCTCTGGGGCGTTAGGAACCCACGTGTTTTCACGTTTGTCCCGTTGTGGGCCGTTAGGACCCCACACATGTTCTCGCCTGTCCTGCGCTGGTGCTTTGGGGCGCTTGTCCCGCTTTGGGGCGTTAAGAACAAACGTGTTCTCACGTTTGTCCCGCTCGGGGGCGTCAGGTAGCCACGTGTCATCAAGCCTGTACTGCTCTAGCGCGCTTGGAACGCACGTGGTTTCGAGCTTGTCCCGCCCCGGGGCGTTAGGACCCAATGCTGTTTCACGCGTGTTCCGCTCTGGGGCGTTAGGAACCCAAATGTTTTCACGCTTGTCCCGTTCTGGGCCGTTAGGAACACACACACATATTCTCGCCTGTCCTGCGCTGGTGCTTTGGGGCGCTTGTCCCGCTTTGGGGCGTTAAGAACAAAACGTGTTCTCACGTTTGTCCCGCTCGGGGGTCTTCAGGTAGCCACGTGTCATCAAGCCTGTCCTGCTCTAGCGCGCTTGGAACGCACGTGGTTTCGAGCTTGTCCCGCCCCGGGGCGTTAGGACCCAATGCTGTTTCACGCGTGTTCCGCTCTGGGGCGTTAGGAACCCAAATGTTTTCACGCTTGTCCCGTTCTGGGCCGTTAGGAACACACAAATATTCTCGCCTGTCCTGCGCTGGCGCTTTGGGGCGCTTGTCCCGCTTTGGGGCGTTAAGAACAAACGTGTTCTCACGTTTGTCCCGCTCGGGGGTCTTCAGGTAGCCACGTGTCATCAAGCCTGTCCTGCTCTAGCGCGCTTGGAACGCACGTGGTTTCGAGCTTGTCCCGCCCCGGGGCGTTAGGACCCAATGCTGTTTTACGCGTGTTCCGCTCTGGGGCGCTGGGAACCCAAATGTTTTCACGCTTGTCCCGCTCTGGGACGTCAGGAGCCCAGGTGGTTTCACGCTTGTCCCGCCCTGGGGCGTTAGGAACCAATGCGTGTTCACGCTGGTCCCGCTCTGGGGCGTGAGGAACCCATGTGTTGTCACGCTTGTTCCGCTTTGGGGCGTTCGACACCTGAGCGTTTTCACGCTTACCCCGCTTTGGCGCGTTCGGAACTATGTACTTTCACGTTTGTCCTGCTTTGGGGCGTTCGGAGCCCTCGTGTTGTCACGCTTGCTCTGCCGTAGGGCGTTAGGAACCCATGTGCTTTCATGCTTGTCCCGCTTTGTGGCGTTAGGAACCCACGTGTTTTCACGCTTGTCCCACTCTGGGGCGTTAGGAACCTACGAGGTGTCACGGTTGTCCTGCTCTGGGGCGATAAGAACCCAAGCGTTTTCACGCTTGTCCCGCTTTGGTGCGTTGAGACCCTACGTGGTTTCACGCTGGTCCCGCTCTGGGGCATTAGGAACCCACGTGTTTTCATGTTTGTCCCTCTCTGTGGCGTAGGAACCTGCGTGTCCTTCGCGCTCCCAGGCCCACGATCCCTCACACATGACGCTCCGACCCTACTCCCAGAACCACCCGGGCATCCTTCGGCGCCCAGGCCTTTCAGGCGCTGCAACGCCGGCGTTTCGCTCGAGGCATCCTCGCAGATTCGGCACGCAGGGCGCGCGATCCTTGAGCGGGCCCGCGAACAGCCAATGATTTCTGCAAAACACGGGCGCGGCGCTCCAGGCATCCTCGGGAAGCCTGCGCGCAGGGCGCGCCGTCCTCTAGGGGGGCATGCAAAAAAAGAACAGCCTGTCACTTGAGATACAGTCGGAGGGTCTCGGAAGTGCGTTTTCGTGATTCCTCTGGGGTTCCGCGCAGGACGCTCAAGCACCTCTCAAGAAGGACAGGGGGGGCCTGCGGACCCCGTGTGGGAACAAGGATCCGAGGCGGGTGGGGCATCAAAGGGCGACGCACAATCAACATGGCATGCGAGAGCCCTAGCGGGCGGGGGGGGGGGCGGAGGGGCGGATCCTAAAGTCGGGTCGGTCGGAGCATCATCGTCATCATCACCATCAGCATCATCAGAATCAGGATCAGAATCAGCATCATCATCAAAATCAGCATCGACACGTTAATGATGATGACCTACATTACCACCATCACCACCACCACCACCATCATCATCATCACTCGCACCCTCGCCGTCATGGGCATCATCATCGTCACCACCACCACTATCAACATCAGCATCATCATCAGCAACATGCTCGTCATCATCGTCATCATGGCAATCGTGATCGGCAACATGCTCGTCATCATCGTCAACATGTGTTTTTGTTCGGGCGCTTGCAAGTAGGCGCTCCGTGAGCAGTGGAACGTGCTCGGCGACCCAAGCATCCACAGAACACGCTCTCTGACTAGAGGCCTAAGGATAGGGTCGGAATACTTGGGGTCGGAGGATCATACCGCATCGCCGAAACATCGGGGATGCATCGGCGATGCATCGGTGATGCACCGGAGAAGCGTCGTCGACGTCCGCGATGCATCGCCGACGTCGACATGAAGCAAGTCGGGCTCCACATCGAGCCGCATCGCCGACGCATCGGCGATATCGATGCGGCGAGATCCCCCGACCCCATCTGCTCCAACCCCATCTGGGAGGCCTGGATCCACAGGACAGGCTCTCGGACGAATTGCAGCGCCAAGGCCTCGATGGGGGCAGTGAAGCGAAGGGAGGCGGCGCAAAAGGGCACGGCGCGGGAGGCCAGGGGTGGGGGGGGCACACCGCGGGGGCCAGGTGCCGAGCGAGGGGCCTGTGGCTGGTGGCGGCGAGCCGCCGGCCATCGAGCGCGAGGACGAGGGGAGCCCTCCCCCTCCTCCTCGCCCTCCTGATACTTCCTTCCCCCGTCTTCCTCCTTCCTGCTCGCTCTCCTCCTCGCCATCTTCCTCCCCCTCCTCCTCCTCCTCCTCCTCCTCATCCTCCTCCTCCTCCTCCTCCTCCTCCTCCTCCTCCTCGCCGTCCTCCTCCTCCGTTTATCATCGCACTCTTCCTTCCTTCGTCCTCCCCATCCTCCTCCTCCTGACTTGTTCACGCCACAGCTCCCCAGAGTCACGTCCAACATCCGATGCCGTGACTTGTGCACGCCATGGCTGCCCAGAGCTTCGGGCCTCGCTCACGGTGCGGGGCCCTCGACGGTGCGGGTTGCCCAGGGCGGGACCCGCGAGAGAAAAGGTCTGGGACGGGCTCGCGATCGCTCCGACGTCCATTCCCCGTGCGTTTTTTCGGCCTCGTGCGCGATTGTCCTGTTCCTCGATGATCAAGGGCGCTCCTCGATGGTCCTCGCGAAGAAAGCACTGCACACGTGGGAGCGATGCCAAGCAGGGGGGCCCCCCTTCACCGTCCTCCCCATGTCTCCTGTCGTTCCGAGGCCACCGCGACCACGCCGTCCCGGGCCGTCGCCTTCCCGTAGGCCTCGAGGAGGGGTTGGCCGTCCTCGGCCTTCATCTTCCAGTGCCTCCGCGCAGGCCCCCTAAAGCCAGTGGCATGCTTGGCCCTCGCCCCTCCCTCACTCCTCTACCTCCTCCTCCTCCTCCTCCTCCTTCTCCTCCTCCTCCTCCTCCTCTTCCTCCTCCTTCTCCTCCTCCTCCTTCTCCTTGCACGCCTCCTCTCCTGCCTCCTCCTCCTCCTCCTCGTCGTCCTCCTCCTCCCCCTCCCCTCGTCCTGCATGATTCTCCTCCTCCTCCTCCTTCTTCTCCTCCTCCAATGTCTCTTCGATGTCCTTCTCCCCTCCCATCTTTCATACTCCGTTCCCTCATCCTCTCCATCTCCTCCTCTCTCCCCCTCCCTCCGCCTCCGATTCCCTCCCTCCTCATCCGCAGCCTCCCCTCCTCTGTCTCTCTCCTCTCCACTTTTTGACCACTGCCTCCTCCTCCCTCCTGACTTGCTCCTTGTCTCATCATCATCCTCTTCCGCCATCCTCCTCATCCTCCTCCTGCTAAATGCCACCGCGACCCGCCTCACCACAGGTGGTATCTTTTGTCCTCCTCCTCCTCCTCCGACTTCTCCTCCTCCTCCTCGTCCCTCCTCCTCCTCCTCCTCCTCCTCCTGCTTCCCCCTCCTCATGCTCCTCCTCATCATCATCGTGATCCTCTTCCTCCCACTTTCTACATCCACCGCCTCCCGTCTCCTCCACGTCTCGCCTCCCAATCCATCCCTCGGTTCCCTCGTCCTACTCCTCCTCCCCTCCCCAATGCCCCATCCTCGCTCTTCCTTTGCATCTGCATCTGAGCGCCGCCCGAATACGAGCGAACTGCTCATGACTTCCTCGAACTGTCCCGGGACCTCGACGAGTTGCACTGAAACATGTGCAGTCGGGGCGTTGACCTAAGGAACCCTAAATGAGGAACGAGGCCCCTGTTCCCCATAAGTTCAACCTCGATTTCCCATGGAAAACCTCAGGAAGCCCGAGGCAAACTTTGAAACAATCAAGGAACACCGAGCCCCTCCCCAACGAAAAGGGTTCCTTCGTCAGCGCCCCGACTGTACGTGGAGCGTCGGCTGCCCCTCACACGCCGTCGGCCTCGGGCGCGGGACCAACGGGCGGCCAGCCCATCCAAAACACCACGCCTGGACATGGAACTGCAAAGCCATGACAACGCCTGGACAACGCCTGGACATGGACAGCCTGGACACAACGCCTGGACAACGCCTGGACATGGACAGCGCCTGGACATGGACACAACGCCTGGACAACGCCTGGACAGCGCCTGGATACAACGCCCATCCAAAACACAACGCCTGGACAACGCCTGGACATGGACAGCCTGCCGTGTTCTTGCCATCGCTCCTACGCCGATTCCCCGTGCACTTTTCGGCTTCGTGTGCGCACCTGTTTCGCAAGACGACCGCCTGTTCCCCGGGCTCCGCCCGCTCCGGCCGCCTGAGGCCCCGCCCTCCCGTGCCCCGTCTCCCTGACTCAAGCTGTGCGCAGCCCGCCTAGCACTTAGCGGAAGAGGCTCGCTCGCGCCCCGCAGACAACCTGCCGTGTTCTTGCCATCGCTCCTACGTCCTACGCCGATTCCCCGTGCACTTTTCGGCTTCGTGCGCGCACCTGTTTCGCAAGACGACCGCCTGTTCCCCGGGCTCCGCCCGCTCCGGCCGCCTGAGGCCCCGCCTTCCCGTGCCCCGTCTCCCTGACTCAAGCTGTGCGTCGCCCGCCTAGCATTTAGCGGAAGAGGCTCGCTCGCGCCCCGCAGACAACCTGTCGTGTTCTTGCCATCGCTCATACGCCGATTCCCCGTGCACTTTTCGGCTTCGTGCGCGCACCTGTTTCGCAAGACGACCGCCTGCTCCCCGGGCTCCGCCCGCTCCGGCCGCCTGAGGCCCCGCCCTCCCGTGCCCTGTCTCCCTGATTCAAGCTGTGCGTCGCCCGCCTAGCACTTAGCGGAAGAGGCTCGCTCTCGCCCCGCAGACAACCTGTCGTGTTCTCGCCATCGCTCATACGCCGATTTCTCGTGCACTTTTCGGCTTCGTGCGTGTACCTGTTTCGCAAGATGACCGCCTGTTCCCCGGGCTCCGCCCGCTCCGGCCGCCTGAGGCCCCGCCCTCCCGTGCCCTGTCTCCCTGACTCAAGCTGTGCGCAGCCCGCCTAGCACTTAGCGGAAGAGGCTCGCTCGCGCCCCGCAGACAACCTGCCGTGTTCTCGCCATCGCTCCTACGCCGATTCCCCGTGCACTTTTCGGCTTCGTGCGCGCACCTGTCTCGCAAGGTGATCCAACATGTTCCTCGATGGCCCTCGCAGAGAAACATGCACACGTCCGAGCGAGGACAAGTATTAGGCAACGCGCGCGCACGAGCGACAGCCCCCCCCCCACTGGCCAGGGTGGGCAAGGCACGCGAGGGACGCCCGCAACCTCAAGCATACGGGCAACGCACCTGCACCCGGGCACAAGACGAAGCCAGGACGAGATGAACATCGGGTGAGGTTGAGTCGAGAATCTCTGAGGTCTGGCAGTTCTGGAGGATATATCGGGCGCCCTGGCCTTCTCAGAGCGTTTCGGAACGCTATTAGAGCATTCCAGAACGCTCTGGAACTGATTTGTCCTCCTGGCCCCGTCCGAATGTACCCAGACACACGGCCGCTCCAATCTTGTCGATGCGTGGGCCACGGAGGTCTGGACTCCACTTCCCTATGGGGCCTGCTTCTCGTCCTGGGTCGGCTTTTGGGCGGCCCCGATGCCCGGGGAGGGCCCCCAGAGGCCGGAAACGGCCAGAAACCCGCCGCTCCAATTCTTGCTGGAGCGTCGGATCTCTGGGCATGTTGAGATACAATCGAGGTACTACCAGAAGGAACGCCAAATGAGGGACGAAGGGGCTGTTCTGACCCATGGCGAGCCTAGACGAAACCCCGAGCCCCTCCTGAGCCCAAACCGATCCTTCTTTCAGCGTCCTGGCTGTGGCCCCGCCTCGGGCGGGGGTGGGCAGCTGAAATGCGGGCCCGCCCACAACCTCACACTTGACTTATGTCGGGCGTGTCCCCCTACAGGGGGATCTTCGACGACAAATTAGAAATACCCCAACAATGCCCCAGCAAGGTCAAAACATGCCCCAAAAAATAGACCCCAGACCATGCTCGGACTATTTTTTTAGTATCTTTGGGGTATCTTGTACTTTTCGTCGAACATCCCCCTGTATAGGGAGCCCACAAAGGACGTACGCGCCCAGCTATGTACATGAGCACGGCCCCTCGATCCGCGAGACCGGCCGCGTTGTACGAACATTTTCGCAATGCGTACTCTCGAAACCAGCGTGGATTCATGTACATGTACGTCCTTCTTTCGCTCCTGACTGTAGGGGGACAGGCCCGACTCAACGCTTGGCCCTCGAGGATCGAGGGGGGCAGCCCCGGCGCGCCCGCGGGGGGGGCGAATGCTCTGGAGGCCGGGGGCGGGGGCCTCCAGGGATCCTGCCGGGAGACGCCCTGCGGGCGCCCGCGGGCCGGAGAGCCGGGCGCGCGGGGCCCCGGGGCAGGGGCAGGAGAGGCGGCACCCACACCACCAGGTGCGAGGGGGTGCGAGGAGGAGGAGGAGGAGGAGGAGGAGGAGGAGGAGGAGGAGGAGGAGGAGGAGGAGGAGGAGGAGGGGGACGAGGAGGAGGAGGTGGAGGAGGGGGAGGAGGAGGGGGAGGAGGAGGAGAGGAGGAGGAGGAGGAGGAGGAGGAGCAAGGGGGGCCCCCCTGCTGGCGCGCCCCCCCCCCCCCCCTCTCTCGCTCGAGGACCCCCCCGCCGCCAGCCCGCGGAGGCACCGTGGGCCTCCTCGCTGGAGGTGGCCTCCGCCCTGGTGGTGCTGCTGACGCTCCTCCTCCCTCCGAGCTGGTGTTAAGTCGGGCCTAGCCCCCCACAGGGGGATTTTTGTCGATGAACAATACCCCAGAATAATCAAAGATAATCCAAAAATAATCCGGGGATTCTGTTGTTGAGTATTTCCTGGCCCATTTTTCATCGAAAATCCCCCGGCCCCGGAAACGGCAGGGCCGTTTTTTCACCGTTTCCCTCAAAAAATGCCCCTTGAAAATGGAAACGGCCAAAAAACGGAGACCGGAAACGACAAAAAAACGGCTCCAGGATTGGAACCGGCGTCGGAACCGACAAGAAAACGGCAAAACGGAACCGGTGAAAAAACTGCCCTGTCGTTTCCAGGGCCCACTAAGGACAGGCCCGACGTAAAGCTGGTGGCGGCCTGATCCACCCCTTCACCTCCTCGGCGGCCTCCCCGCCCTCGAGCTCAAGGGCCCCGGCGGCGAGCAGGTGGCGCACGCAGGGCACCTCGCCGCCGCCGCCGGCCGTCCGCCCGACCGTCCGCCAGTCCGTCCGTCCGTCCGTCCGCTGTCGTCGTGATCGTCGTCGACGTCGTCGTCGTCGACGTCGTCGTCGTCGCCAACGTCGACGTCGTCGTCGTCGTCGTCGGCGTCGGCGTCGGCGTCGGCGTCGGCGTCGGCGTCGTCGTCGTCGTCGTCGTCGTACGTCGTATGTCGTCGTCGTCGTCGTCCACTGGCGTCGACGTCGTCGTCGTCGTCGTCATCTGTCCGTCGTCGTCTTCGACGTCGTCGTCGTCGGCGGCGTCGTCGTCGTCAAGTGTTGACGTCGTCCGACGTTGTCGTCGTCGCCACCGTGGTCATCGTCGTCGTCATCGTTCTCGTTGTCGTCGTCGACGTCGTTATCGTCGCCTCCTTCGTCGTCGTCGCCGTCGTCGTCGTTGTAATCCGTCCGTCGTCGTCTTCCGTGATTCTCCGTCGTCGTCGGCGTCGTCCGCCGTCGTCGTCGTCATCAGTTGTTGACGTCGTTCGACGTCGTCGACGTCGTCGTCGTCTGGCATCGCGCATCTCCGCGGTGTCTTTGCGCCTCTTCTCCTCCAACTCCACCTCCTCGTGCTCCTCCTTCGCCTCCTCCCCTCCTGCCGGGCCTCCGGGGGGAGGCCCCGCCCTGGTGCTCGCACCCTTTGCGCGCTGCAGGCCACCCAACTGCTGGAACAAGAACGCCCGGGCTGCGGGTGGTGCCGCTGGCGCCAGCCGTGCAGGCGTGCCCTGCTGGCGCCGCCCCGATGGTGCTGCCGCGCGCGGCAGCGGTGCTGCCGCTGGTGCTGCACGGTGCGGGTGCTGCTGGTGCTGCCGGTGCCTGCCCATGCCAGGGGCCTCGGTGCGCCTGGCTGCCGCTGCTGCTGCCGCTGCCGCTGCCGCTGCTGCTGCTGCGGGTCGCGCGCCGGGATGCCGGCCGTGCTCTCGTCTCTCCTGCTCTTTGTCCCGCTGCCGCGGAGCTCCCCCCATGTGTGGACGAGGAAAAGCGGGCACAGACAGAAGCTTGTGGCGCTCCGCGCAAATTTCTGGGATATCTGCGCTGGACCCCCCCCCTCCCTGGCGCGCGGAGCACGCCAGGGGCGGCGCCCGATCGGCGCCGCCACGGGGCCCCTGCGCAGGTCCAAGAAATCCACACGGAGCGCCGACAGTGTCTGCTTATGGCGTGTTTTCTTCGTCGACCCACCTGCACATCACGCAGCATCCGCCGATCGCGCCCGCGCCGCGGCACGGCAGCTCATCGTCTGGCTGCGCCGGAGCTCCGGCGCGGCAGTGCTGCTGGCGCCGGCGGCACCGGAGCTCGCCGCCAGGGCGGCCCCCTCCGTGGCCGCGGGCAGCAGCGGCGCGCTTCTGGCCCGCTTCACGGCTGGCTCCAGAGTGCCCTCGGCGAGCTCGGAGCCGATGGCGAAGTGGGACAGGCCGCCGCGGAATCGAGCCATGCCCGATTCGGCCAGGCTCTTCATGACGAACCCATCGAAGACCTCCGTCGGGACCATCGGAGGGCGCGGGGAGAGAAGAGTCGGAAAGACCGCGGCGGAGGCAGCGCCGACGAAGGCGAGCGCCGGTATCACAGTTCCACCGCTGGTCACACCAGCAACCGCAGCGGCGGCTGTTCCCGCAACCCCTGCTTTCGAACAAAGTCTCGCCTCGTTGCGTAGAATGCTCTGCCTGCACTGGACCACGACGACATCATACTTGCCAGACCCGGCCTGTTTTTTGAAGAGGACGTACTTGGCACGCGACTCACCATCGTTCACTGTGTAGGCCTCGCGCCTCATTCCGATATCGCCCTTCAGAGCACTGGGCGGGATCAACGACCCCTCGAAGTCGTCCCAGAAGAATCCTTTGAGCCACCCGCTCCACGTGTCGTAGCCAAGCATCTCGGCGCGGGTCACGCCGATAGATTGCGTCGTGGACGACTCGAAGCTGACTAGGTAGTCTGTCCACTTCGCCCTGGACACGTACTGCTCTTTGGCGGCGCCCACAAATGGCAGGGGGGAGGGGAAAAGGCTTCTCAGAAGCACCCCGCTTCTCGGAAGGTGCGGGCCTTGTCTATAGATGTGGGGGCTGCGCCTGTTAAGAAGCAGCCTCCTGAACAGCCTTGCCCCCTCCCCCCCACCCAAGCATCCGACTGCTCCAATTCACGCGATGCGTGGGCCCCGGAGGTCTGGACCTCCTCCCCGGGGCCGGTTTTTCGTCCTGGGTCCTTCCTGCACGGCCCCGAAGCCCGGCGAGGGCCCCCTAGGGGCCGAACACGGCCAAAATTTTAAAACCCGAAGGCCCCAGCTTTTGGTGTCTGCGCCGGTGCTCGGGGTGCCCCCCCCCGCGCGCGCCGCCAGGCTCGTACGCCGCCACGTGCGGGTGCGCCGCCGGCGGCGGGGCGCTGCCGCCGAGGGCCGCCCGGAGCGGGCCGCGCTTCGCCCCCCTCGCGGGGGGGGCCGCCGCGGGAGCGGCCCCGCCCGAGGGGGGAGCGGCGGCGGAGGGCATGGCCGCGGCGCGGGAGCGGCGACGGCGGGAGCGGAGCCACGGCTACGGACCCCGACGCGATCGCGTCGAGCAGAAGCAAAACAGCAGCGTTCCCAGACCCCCTCGAGTCCTGAAAGAATCACGACGGGAGGTTCTTCATGATCTTCGGGATCTGGGGGCCCTGACCGGCCCTCGGGACCGTCAAGAAACGACTCGGGATGAAAAACCGGTCCTGGGGAATGGGTCCAGACCGCCGGGGGTCGACGTCATGAAAAAGTCATGACGTCGGGGGTCTGGGTTGAACAACTGCGGGACGGGAAAATGACCACAGCCACTGCTTCTTGTTTGCGCCGCCTTCCAGCCCGCCGAGAAAGAAAGAGTGGTTGTGGTCATTTCCCTGGTGCCGAGCTTAACGAAAATGACCACAACCACTGCTTTGTTTCTGCTGGCTGGATGGCGGCAACAATAGAAAAGCAGTGGCTGTGGTCGTTTTCACGTTCCGTAACAACGCAGCATCGTCAAACAGAAGATCAGGACGGGAGGCTTTTGCGTGGCACGTTTCGGCCTCGAAGGGGGCCCTCGCCGGGCCTCGGGGCCGTCCGAAACGGCTCTCGGGCTGAAAGTCCGGTGCCGGGGAAAGGGTCGGGACTTCCAGGGACCACGTACTGAAAAGATCAGGCTGTCGCACGTCTGCGGACCCAGACCCCCGACGTCATGGCTTTTTCATGACGTCGACCCCCGGCGGTCTGGACCCATTCCCCAGGACCGGTTTTTCATCTCGAGTCGTTTTTTGACGGTCCCGAGGGCCGGTAAGGGCCCCCAGAGGCCAAAAATAATGAAGAACCTCCCGTCGTGATTTTTCCATGACTCGAGGGGGTCTGGCGGGCCGTCGACAGCCCCAAGGCGGCCGAAAATCATGAAGAACCTCCCGTCGTGATTTTTTCATGACTCGAGGGGGTCTGGGGAGGAAGCGCGTCGGGCCTTGGGCGCCCCCTTCGGAGCTTTTCGATCGGGGCGCGGCCCACGAGAGTGGCCACGGACGGCCCGAGGAGCCGTGGCTGCGGATTTTGCCCTTGGAAGGGGCCCCAGGACACACAAATAGAGACACACAAACAAAAGGATTCCCCATATTTTCCCACATGTTCGGGGTGTTCGTCTTCCCCCCCAATTCCCATATTTTCCCGTATTTTCCTCGGAATCGAGGATTCATTGTGTCTGTGTGTTTCTTCCCCTCCTGGCCCTTTACGTCTACGGACACGTGCCCCCTCTGGAAGGAGCTCCGATGCCGGAGACACTGCCTGGCCGGAAGGACCACTCTGGAAGGGCCGAGCCTCGCCCCAGAGGCCAACCACTGCGAAGTGTGGGGCAGAACCAGGAATAACAAGGGATACGTCGACCCCTATCCCAGGCTTCGTGGGGTTTCCGAATGGACCAGAAATTTGGGGCCCAACCCTGGGATATACGATGGGGGGGTGCCCATCCTCGATAGGGGTGCGTCCGAATAGCCCCCTTGGGGTGTATCCCAGGGTTTTTCCATTGTTCTGAGCGGCCAAACTTTTTGGGCGAAACTCGGGGATTGGGGGAGAAACATCGCCTGCGAAGGAAGGCCGGACTGGCAACAACCTGGAGGAATCGGCTGCAGCCATAACTGGCAGCACTTGCCGTCGCTCGGACGCCCATTTCCTGTGCATTTGTCGGTTTCGTGCGTTTTTTTTTTTTTTTTTTTTTTGTTTCCCCCCCCCCCCCCCCTCGATGGTCCAGGATGGTCCTCGTGGTTTTCTCGCCGAAAAAAATGCACACGTCCAAGCGATGCCAGGAGTAAGGATGCGCGGCAAGGATGCAGGGCCCTCCGGCGCCCACGCCGGGGCATTTTCGAGCGGGGCGGGCCATCGGACGCGGTCAAGGATGGGCCACAGAGGCAGGGGTGTAAGGCTACCCTCGGGAAGGCGATCCATCCTGACCACCTGTTTCGACTGTGCACGCAAGAGTGACCCTGGGCAGGGGTACCTCTGGTGCGCGGTTATCTGGAGGCCGCGGGGGGCCAAGGCCAAGCGAACGAGCATCTGGCAACTCCGATTGACTACCTACCAGACCACCTCAACCCAACCCGAAGACCCGAACTTCGGGTTGGGGGGGGTAAGGGTTCCACGAGTGTTTCTTCGATGTTTCCCGACCCCCCCCCCCACTAGAAATCGAGGGTAAATCTGAGCCTTCGGGTTGGATTGGGGTGGTTTGGTGGGTGGTGACCAATGTGCCCGCACCAGAGGTCACTCCGGCACAAGGCCACTCTGACGCTTAGTCGACGGAAGCTGGTCAAACGCATGGCCGGATTCAGGCGCAGAACATCCCCAGACCCCCGACGTCATGATTTTTTCATGACGTCGATCCCCAGAGCTCTGGACCCATTCCCCAGGACCGGTTTTTCGTCCTGAGTCGTTTTTTGACGGTCCCGAGGGCCGGTAAGGGCCCCCAGAGGCCAAAAATCAATAAAAACCTCCCGTCGTGATTTTTTCATGACTCGAGGGGGTCTGGGTCCGGATGCCACCTGCCCAACGCACACGTGGAAGACGACGCTGCCTTGCAACAAAACGTGCCGGGCGTTGGGAAACTATGCGGCCACACGTCCTCCCACGACTCGCACAGGCCGGCCAGCGCCACGTGTGTCCAGGTGCCTAAAACAGGGCTAGGATCGGGATAAATCGCTTCAGAGCGTTCCGGAGCGCTCTCAGAGCGTTCCGGACCGCTCTGGAGCGGCCGCGGCGCCCAACACATCCTCCAAACCCGCCGATTCTCAGAGAAATTTCGAGGTATCCCGATCCGATCTTGTCCCGATCTTCGCGTCGTTTTTTAGTTCCTGGCAGGGGGTAGCAAAACGCCCCTGTCACTCGAAAGAGCACCTTGGAGGAGGAGGAGGAGGAGGAGGAGGAGGAGGAGGAGGAGGAGGAGAGGAGGAGAAGGAGGAGGGGGGAGGAGGTGGAGGAGGAGGAGGAGGAGGAGGGAGGAGGAGGGGGGAGGAGGTGGAGGAGGAGGATAAGGAGGAGGAGACGGAGGAGGAGGAGGAGGAGGAGGAGGAGGAGGAGGAGGAGGTACCAAACTCATGTATACAGGGCCGGTGCGGCTCGGAGCTGCGGGCGCTCCGAGTCCCCCTCGGCGCGCTCTCCGCGCCCCTGCAAGAGGCTGGCCAGGTCTTCGATGGTGCAGTCGGGGCGCTGACCTAAGGAACCCTAAATAAGGAGCGAGGTCCCTTTTTTCCATCTGTTAAATAAAGGAAAAAGAACTATGCACATGCACCGATTCTGGCCAGGCCCATCCTGAGCCCAGGATCGGTGCATACGCCCTCCTACCTTGGCCAGGAAGGCATATGCACCGATCCTGGGTCAAGGATCGGCCTTGCCAGGATTGGTGCATGTGCATAGTTCTCGTCGCCCGATTAAATTCCGATTTCCCATCGAAAACCGAAGGAAAACCTAAGGCAAGCTGCGAAGCAATCAAGGAACACGGAGCCCCTCCCCAACGA